AGTAAAGCCTAGACATATTCCAAGGCCAGAGATAAAAAGAACTTATTTGCGGTTAATTCAAACTTAAAGTTCAACCAATGAGATTATCCTTGTTCGGTTGTTTTTTTTTATCTTGGCATTTACAACACTTCAGCTAGACTGTTTAAGCAGTTAGATAAGGAGTTATCTCCAATTAGATTAGTTAGCTGCGCTTCATTTAACGAGACTGAGTTCTCTGACTTTCTGATAACCTTAAATTTTCTCAAATTCTTAAAAACGAGTAAAGCAAAGAGATAACCAAAAGTCACGCCAGCCAAATGATGTCTCTACCAGATTTTCTGCTCCAAACTGGATAGTACTAACATCACGAGTAGGAAACGGATCAAGCGGAAAAATTCTAACGAAGAGATTTGCAGAAAATTCCGTCGTATAATGAAAACAGCATGAGCCTACATTTGATGAGTCATTTTATCGCCGCTTCGTGATTTCAAGGACAATATCGTATGCGTCTTCGTTCAGTACAAATTCGTAAGAAAATCAATGAAGATGTACGATTGATTGTGACGATGTGGGAGGAATAAGAAAGATGGGAGAAGTAAAGAACCTTTATAGCTTGTATTACGGGCACTAAATGTACTTTAGAGTGGTACGATGGCCTTGAAATCCGCTCAAAATCCAATTTACAATCAATCACGTTAAAGTAAGCCCGATTAAATAGTCGGATGATTCGTTAAATTGGCGAAACGTTGGGATGCGTGCTTCTGGCAGCTGTGTAAGGGGAAAGAATTGAAATTTAAGTCAAGAGACAGACAGACTGTAAAGTGGAAGAATAAAAAACGCGAGAAGGGTCTCAGACGTTGAAAAAACATTAAATAATGAGATGATTGTCAACTAATAATCCTTCATTATCTGAACTTTTTAGATATGGAAGTGATTCCTTTTTTTGCAAATAGTCTATTTCTACACAAAAGAGCAGAGCCTTTCATTTGACATCATAACTTTTTTTTTTCAATAGTTTCCCTTGTAAGAAATTCCTGATAGTCCAGTCTTCTAATTTAGTCTCAGAGTTAGTTGACTGAGGAAATCAGCATACCTCATTCTATGGTAGAGTATATTCTATGGTGAAGAGATAAAGTTGTACAATAAATAATAATATGAGGGCCAGAATGTC